GGTATAATACAGCGATATACCTTTTGGTGGGCCCACAAAAAGGTATATCGCTGTATTATACCGCGCTATATATATATATATATTTGAATTATTGTTATGTCAGTTAACCGCAGGAGACTAATTGGTGGGCCCACAAACAGATATAACGCGGTATAATACCGCGTATATATATAGAAATGTAACTTTTTTTTTAGTAGTAGAAACGTATTTTGAGTCCAAAAACCCAACATTTAGTCGTCGACGAAATCCTAAACGATTTGCAAAATTAGAAACGTAATCCTAAACGACGTCGTTAACAGTTCTTTTAAGTAAATGCAAAAGTAGTCTCTTACAAAAAGATTCAGTACACAGACAACAGAAAAAGCATGTAAAAAGTCTTTCTCAAACAGCTCAAATTTGTAGGAATTTGAGCTTAAATGGAATCTAAAGCTCAAGTTTCTTCCATTTCAATGGAAGAATCGAGCTTTGAAATCCCTATTGAACTCATCACTGAAATACTCTCAAGGCTACCAGTGAAATCTCTCCTACGATTCAGGTGTGTATCAAAATCTTGGCTTTCTTTAATCTCTAGCCCTGAATTTGCTTACACCCATCTCGGTATAGCTGCTAATAGTAAGGAATATACTCAACATAGTGTTATCTTGAAATCATGTCCACCTGATTTCAAGCTTAAGAACTGTTCCCTTAGTTCTTTACTTTATGATTCTGTTACTGAGGCATTTGACTTAGGTTATCCTATGAAAAAACCCCGTGGATATGTTCGTATTATGGGTTCTGTTAATGGGTTAGTTTGTCTTGTTATTGAGGAAAAGTATTTCCTTCTCTGGAATCCATCAATTAGGAAGTTCAAGAAATTGCCTGATCCAAGAGGTGGTGACTATATTATGTATGGTTTTGGATATGATGAGTTTCATGATGATTATAAGGTAGTTATTTCCGATCGTTTGAGTTATGACAGTTTGGATCATGTTGGGGTTAGAATATATAGTCTAAAAAGTGATTCTTGGAGAAATATTCGTGAACGTTGGAGTGGGAAGCTACCCAGTTTGTGGGGTGTTCTTTTGAATGGAAAGCTTCATTGGACTTCTCTTACTCGTTCCGACATCGTTTATATTGATTTGGCTGATGAGAAATGGGGGAAAATGAAGCAACCCTGCTTTGGAAAAGGAGATTTTGATATTTGGTTATGTATGGGAGTGTTGGGAAGTGATCTTTCTTTGTTTTGTAATATTCCAAAAACTCGCGCTGATATGTGGGTTATGAAGGAATACGGGGTGAAAGAATCTTGGACAAAGATGTTTACCGTCAATTGGTCTGATGATCCAGTGGAGTATGCATTTTGTCCTCCCTTTTGTATGTCAAATAAAGGTGAAATTTTGTTTGGGTTTGGCTCAACTTTCATGATATACAATCCAAAGGATAGCTCGATCAGATATCCAGAGGTTACCAATCGTGGTGTCATTTATGAGGCAGATATCTACATTGAAAGCCTAGTTTGGCCCATTTTTACAAAAAAAAAAAAAAAAAAAAAAAAAAAAAAAAAAAAAACAAAAGAAATACAAACAAAGACGAAGACTAAGAAAGACTACAGATAGAAGACGTATACGTAGTAAATAAATAACTAAGTAAAGTAGTTACTCTAACTACTACTTTACCCTACTAACTTAATGTACTAGTTTAAAACTTACTANTCATTTATGAGGCAGATATCTACATTGAAAGCCTAGTTTGGCCCATTTTTACAAAAAAAAAAAAAAAAAAAAAAAAAAAAAAAAAAAAAAAAAAAAAAAAAAAAAAAAACAAGAATCAACAAAAGCGAAGGCTGAAAAAGCTCAGATGAAGACGATCGTGTAATTAATAACTAGTAAGAGTTCTCTATACATTTCCCTCAATATGCTGTTAAATTCTGCTTCTTTTGTCAAATTTAGTATAAGAAATTGCATATTACAAATATTTTTGAACCATATTTGCTGGGAGAACTTGTTGGTCCTTTTTCCGGTTTGCTAAACAACAATTCCTGCAAGAACAGTTATTTGGTTTAACTGCTTCGCACTCTTCATCTTCTAACTAAATGGCACTCAATATTGTTTCTCTTCTTGATCAGTATTTTAAGGGGGGTGTTATGCCTCTAGACAGAGTAAGAACAAAGAGCAACAGGAACATGGAAATAATGACACGTGAATGCGCCAATAACGCCTAGGTGTTGCCCTTGCCGGGATTATTGTTTGATCTAGGGGGCTTCTTCAAAAATCTCCTTTAGGTGAAAACTTAACAAGGGAAAAGGAGGAAATAGAGTAATTCTTCAATAATCTTCTTTAGGTGAAAACTTAGTAGGGGAAAAGGAGGAAGCACAGGGATTGGAAGAACGGTTAAGGTCTGGCATAGTCTTTAGTTTTGGTACTTTCCTTGCTGCTAATAGCAAATTTGTTTTCCGTTCTACTAATAGCTAACTGTATATTTTCTTTAGGACTATCTTCTCATTGTTTTACTTATCTGGTCAATCAAAGGTTGAATTGTGTTTCACTTTCTCAGCGAGATTGAGATAAGCAATGGTACATTGAAGGATAAAGCATTTTGGAAGCGAATTTAGCTTCTGTGATCGTGAGAGTACAGTGGGGGCACCAAAGGACTGAGGAATGTAGGAAAAAAGATACGGAGATGAGCTTTGTTTATAGGGACATGTCTACTCTAAAGTAAATAAAAAACAATGTCAAGATTCGATAGAGATGCATTGACTTATATTGTGGTTCAGTTTGTTGATATGTGTCCTTTGTGAGCCGTTAAATTGAGGAAGCAAGGGAGAAATTCTAGTCATCATCTCAGCATATGCAACTTGTTTTACTGTCCTACTTTTCGCGTTCAATCTTGCTGATTATGGATTTGTCCTTTCATCTCCAAGATTCATTCTTTTCCTTTCAGCAACAGGATCAATAATTTGTTCAATCATCTGGCCAACACTCTGATCATCTCCAACTTGGCAATAATATTATCAGGAATAGAGAAAATCGGAGGGTATATGGCGATTCTCAAGGCTTGTTTTTTAATCAGGGGAAGAACAGCAACATCATTATCATTGGCCTTGATTGTCAACTTGGCCCTAGCTGGAGTTGAAGCTCTATTTCAATACAGAATTGTCAGAGCTTATCATCACAAAAGAACAAGGCTTTCTTCTATTGCTTTGGAAGGAATGTTCATTGCTTATTTGTATTCCATTCTTCTGGTTCTTGATACCATTTCCAGTTGTGTTTTCTTAAAAATCTATAAGACAGATTGCCAGAGGGATGAAGAGGGAAGTTTCCCGTATCAAATTGCGATTGAAGACAGAGATAGCCATGCAGTTCTGAGGATTAAGACTTTAGAGGAGCTTTAATTTTTTTGAATATTTCAACAGATTCTGTATTATGTTACAATTGTCATATACTAGAAAATATTGTTTCAAACACGAAAAAGAGGAAGCAATTTTCCAGTTTATTGGTGTATAATAATTATATCTCAAGAAAACTCATTAGGAAATAGGGAAAGGCTCATTATCAATATTACAAGATGTTATTGAATAACAAGATATCAAGAACTCAAGAATACATGTAATGCATGTAACTTTTCTGCCAACAATGAATGAAGATATCATATTATAGCTAAAATTTGACTCTAAGAAAAGTGGGAACTTATCCCACAGCCTACATTTTGTTACATTGCTATTGCTAAAAATACCTATCTCTATCCTCTTCTATGCTTTCTGTACAATTTTCCGTATTGGATTCCCATCAAATACTGACCAGGAACCTGTTTCTATGTTACAATGAAAAGAATCAACATCTCTAAATACAGGGGTTAGGGCTTTGTACAAACCACCCATGTTACACTTGCAATTTACAGTTTGTATGGCATAATCTGCATGCATCATGGTGAATGCCAACTCCGCATGTAACTACATTTGCACCAACGACAACTCCATCGTGTTGGTTCAGCAAATGCATACCCAAATTTGCATTCTTAGATGCATTGTTCTGTTTAATCATGCAGCACACTCCAGAAGGGACGGCAGTCATGATCACCCATCAATAACAAAATCCAGGTGATCGATTCTTAGACCAATGGATTGCTTGCATCATCCAAGAGCTCAGACAACAGCGTGTCTGTCATCTTCAGCTTCTCTCTGCAAATCACTCCAAGAGCCCGGACGCGAATGTCTCTTTTTCAGTTTCCCTCTGCAAAGCACTTCATTGCATTTCCAGGTTCACAAGCTTTTAGTATTGGACTTTCTTTCTTGAACCCAGAGAAAGCCAAAGCCAATAGATCAATATTGGAGGCTTCTGGTTTGACTTAAGACCACTGTCCTTAGTCAACACAACAGTTAACCAACGGACGAAGGCCAATACATGACACCAAAATTTCCCTGAAGAATGAATCATCCCCATTTACTTCTCACCCTTCTTTGTTAAGTTACTTCCTTCCGCATTCTCCGTTTCGGCTTCCTTCTGAACTTTCTTCTTATCTAGTTCAGCCTGCTTCAAGTTCTCTTCATGGGCTTTGCGGAACAACCTCACAAAATTTAAGAGGGTTGCGGTGACTGCAACAGATACACACAACAGAAAAGTAGGAGTCAAACCCTCAAAAGCACTAGCACACAGATGAGAACAATGAGGCATAAATGAATCATATAAAGGAATGCAGACATACATTCAGAATTTCTCGAGTAAATTATTTACATGTGACACAAATAACAGGTGATACAAACTTGGCAGTTAATCTTAGTTGATGCTAATTGGAATTTAATTTTAGTTGATGCTACATTTACATTTCATCCGCTGTTTGTCAAAGTTCTTCTTAGTCTAATTAGAGACTTGTATGTCTATGTAGAGATAAGTTGTTTAGATATCTCTAGTTTCAAAGAATGCTAATTTGCTCTCGACAGATTATTTAGTAACGGAATCAACCAGACCAAAATAGAGTGGAATATACATATAAACAGATTCATATAGCCAACCCAACTAATTTGGAATTGAAGCATAGTTGATTCGTGATAGCTCACTAACTAGAGAGGATAGCTCAAGCTCTATCCGCAGCTCTGTTCCAAATGGTTTCTCCAGAGCCCTATACTACGAACTTCACATATGCTAGATCTACTAAGTCTGATAACTCAGCAATCTGGTTGGCAAATCTATGTCCCATACAATCTTAATTGAATCTGACTATATCTTTCTCTGAAACAGGCCGAGTATATTACGGAGAGGTTTAGACTCCCAGTAGAGTGCCTATAATATACTTCCTCCGTCCCAATTTATGTGATGGTATTTGATTGGCCATGGATTTAAAAAGAAAGGAAGATTTTTGAAAATTGTGGTCTAAAATGAGCCATAGATATTTGTGTGGCTATAAATCATCCCATAAATGGTAAAGTAGACATTTTAGAGTTAAATTGTTACTAAATATAGAAACGTGTCATTCTTTTTTCAGACTCCACTTGTGGGATTACACTGGGTTTTTTGTTGTTGTTGTCATTCTTTTTTAGACCGACCAAAAAGGAAAGAGTGACACATAAATTAGAACGCAAGGAGGACCTATCACTATGTTCTTGTATTTCCCAGTAAGTGTGCTAAGTTATTAGACAATGTCCAGAGGATTAGCCGTAGCCCGAGCTGTAGTACACCTATTACAATACTTTCTTACTTGATTGCATAACACTGGAGGACATCAAAGTAAAATTCACAACTATAGGGAACCACCTTCATCAACTCAATTTTGTTACTGGAAGACCAATGAGGGGATAAAATATTTTATACATGTGCTACCTTGTTCAAATGGACATTTGGCAGGATCCTCATTAAAATATAGTGTAAGTGCATCTGCATTTCTGCCCTGTGCATCAAGTAAAACATATCATTGACGCTATAGAAATTGATTGCGTTGCATAATATAAGAAAGAGAACTAAATACAAAGGAAATTACCGCCACGGAATACAACTCCCTGAGAGAGCCAACCTCTGCTTCAGACGCACCAATGAATTCCTTTAAGGTCTGGTTTGCAGGACGTAGAAAAACAAACTTTTAAGGACCAAAATATGGTGCACATTTTACTAATTTCCAGGTAAGAAGTGAATGTAACTTGATAGCATCATGGGAATGAATCCTATCATCTCTTATGTTAAATGAATAGCCAATTAAGGAAAGAAAGTAGAAATGACAAAAGCTAAAGATATCCAATTTCATCAGGAAGCCAACTAGTGCTAGTCCATCAAAATGCAGCTGCAAGCTAAAAGACTATTCTATCCAGCAATCAATTAGGAGGAAGAAATGACAATCACAATTCTTTGTGTTATCTTCCGCCAAAGCAAACAGCAGTGCTGCACTTCTCCAGAAAACTTTTACCCTCTTTCTTGGGAAGATTAGGGATACATCAATGAAGAGCGAAGACAGATAAAGCAAATTTCTCAATGCCACAGGGCTCGATAAAGGACAATTTGCAAACAGAATGGACTTTTTCATCCAATTTTCAGTTCTACAGGAAGAGGGAGGAAACTACAAAGTCCTAAAATGGCAGTATTTCAGCCCTCCTAACGTGTAGGACACGATAAGAATGTGAACACATGCAAGTTAGACATCGTTTATGAAAGAGTTACAAGCACCGCCCTACCTTGCAAAAAATTTCAGACACGGGGCCATCATTCCCAGATGACTCCAGTTCCTTCTTAACCTTTTCCAGCCCCTTGATGATTGCTTGCATTTCTTCAGCCAAAGACTTCAATTGAATCTGCAAGGAGAAACTAATTTCTAACCAATCCGAAATAAAATAAAGAACTATCACCAGAGAGAGATAGGTAAACAGATAACCTTTGATGCAGCTTCCACGCTTACAAGATCTTCATGGAAGTCTAAAAGTGCTGGTGACTTGGAAGCAAGAACCTGAGAAAAGTGAGATAATGTTAACACTGCAACAACCTCGCATAGTATAATCAGTTAATAATGCCTTATTCAGAGAGGAGGGATAAAGAAGGATAAAGATATTCAGGTAAAGAACAAAAAGAGGAAAGAGATTCCCTGAGACAGAAATGTTCAATCAAGAGAATATAGAAGCATTACATGGAAGAGAATAAAACTACGATAAGTACGAATGGAAGTCAAACACTCCTCTACCAGCTAAAAAAAAGCAATGAATATCAGTCGTATGAGGTAGAAAACTAGTGACATCTTACATGAGCATGGCTTCATTAGAACATTAAAAATATTATCTAGAATATTCTTAATGATTATGTTCTTCAAGAGATTAATTAAGAATATTGTGAAGAATATTCTTAAGATTATGCATAATTAAGAATCCCAAAAATATATTTCATTTAGCTCAAGATTCCTTTATCAGAAACCCGCTTGTATGTTGTTTTCTCTTTTTATATATAGGATAGGGAGATCTAAGTAATTTTGGGACTCTTGTAACTATTAGAACTCTAGTTCTAGTAAAAGATAAATTATCATGTAAACGCTTGTCGCTGGGCAAATAAAAACCAAGGATAATGATAATGCAATCTCTTTTTAGTTACATCAATTTGAGCTCCAGATCAAGCCCAACAGGAATTTTTCTTTTGAGATTGACATGAAATAAAGATTAGAAGGTTTAATTTGAAGGAGATAACAATCCAACAAGTTCAGAGTTACATGAACGGGAGTTTCATTTGACTTAAGGTTCAGAAGGAACCTTGAAGGTTGGGATGTTGCGGAGTTTCAAAGTATGGTTGAATTGCTCTATAAACAAAGTTTTTAGCATAGAGCAGAATTCTTGGAGGTGGGAGACGGGGAGTCGTGTTTTTAGTAAAGTTGGCATTATAATAAACTCTTGGTCGGAGAAGAATCAGCATTTCCACATTCATCGATTTGGATTTCCATGGCACTAAGAAAGATGTGCTGCTTCACCTAGTTTGCAGAAAGAGGTGCGATTTTGACAGCTAAAAACTTGAGGAAAATGAGGATTACATATGTCAAATTGTGTTTTATGTGTAAGAATTAGGGCGAAGATATGGATCACCTCCTTTTACATTATCAGGTTGTGTCTTGTTTGTGGTGGCAAATCCTTATGCGGTTCGGGCAGCAATGTATGATGTCACGCACCATGAAGGAGGCACTGTTCAGTTAGGCACTTAGAAGACAGATGACGAAAGGAGAAAACGAAGGGCGTGAGATGTTGCTCCACTAACACTCATGTGGGTGGTATGGAAAAAGAAAAATAGGAGACATTGAAGTGATAGAAAATGATTTTGTACATCTAAAAGATAGCCTCTTCTCCCTACTTTCCTTTTGGTGCACCCATGAGATTACAGTTTATATAGAAGATTGAGTATCTTTTGTAAAGAATCATACTTCGTAGATTCTCTACTTTTTTGTATACTATTTGTATACAGGAGTTTTCTCTCCCACTCATCAATAAAACTATTTTACCTTATCGAAAAAATAAATATTTAGACAGAGGGGAATAGTGTGAACAAAAGCAGCTTTTCAGGAACAGCAAAGATGAATTTACGGTACCTTACAAAGATAATGCATGAGTGTCATCTTGTTGTTAGTAGCACGTGTATCAGTGAGCTTCAAAAGACTGTCCAACTTAAATCCAATGGCAGAACCTGGAGTAAAGAATGACATGGAATTTAGTATTGAAATTTTAATATCCCAAATTTCAAACTTCTTGACGACACAACTTACAACGTCCTCAGCATGAAATCAGGTCTTACATTCCACCGAACTAATTCAGCCACATAACATAAAGCATAATTTCTTAGAACAAGAAGCAGTAGTAAGTAACAACTAACAATTGTGCTCATATTATTTTCATAAACACTGACTATATTTCTACAATTTTTCAAAACTTTGCAAAGCCTAGCAATTTAATGAATTATGTGACTTAATTTTATCAGTTTGCACTCCGAACATGTGAAACTAAAGGGACTTCACTGGAGCAGAATGAATATAGAGGATTCATATAGCCACCCCAACTAACTTGGGATTACCAAACGACATACTTAGGGTCAAAGCTCATGCTACTTATTTAGGTAAAAAATGCTATAAATAATTGAAACCAAACTCCCCTTAATTAATCAAACAATTGTTCCCCATTTTAGCAACAAGCAATTATTGCTTTGAATTTTCCCCATAACCAAAGAGCCTTAAGTTCCAAAGTTGTAGCATTTAAGAAATTCATTATTGCATTTAGAAAATCAAAATTTCCCCATTACTTTATATTTAAGACAGTTGCAGGTTGTGAAAACCTACATGATGGGAATCAATGGGTCGAACAAATAAAATGCTTGTAATGCTTACTGAGACATCTTAAAGACAAGAATTCTTACCTCTGGCAGTTCCCTGATTTAACGTATTCCCTAGAAACAAAATTTTCTTCATTATTTCCTTCAATTTGGAAGAATTTCGGACCTGCTACATGCACATTGTATTTTGTTAAAAATAAGATTAAAAAGAAAGAACAAAGAAGAGAAGAGATACGGAAAACCTAGCAAATTACCTCTTCGCATGCAGAGTTCACAGTGGTTAAGCTTTTCTTGAAGTCTGTCACCTGAAATGAAGCTAAATTCAGATGACACAGAAATTAATTTAGTAAAGAAGATATCTAGATGTACACAAACCTGAGATTTGAACTGAATCTTGAAGAGAAACACTCTTAATTTCGACTCTACTCGTGGCACCTTCATCAACTCCAAAAAGAACTGACAGTCAAAGGTAAAATCAGGAACACCGGTGAAGCATGGGATCTAAGCTACAAGGTACTGTAAAACGATAGCAAGTATCAGCTATTCCTCAAATCTTGAAAGTGCAAGACATCCAAAGGCAGGGAAAGGAAACAATTCTTACAAGAATTTCCCACCAAACTTGATAATGGGATACGGGAGTACATCATAAGTTCGACTTTAACCACTCTAATCATTCAATCATAAGAAGGTTTAAAAACATTGTTAAAGTAGTCATCGTCATGACTATCTGCCACCTCCCATGATCTCTCAACTCAGTTATTTCTAAAACATTGAAATTCAAATAGTTAAATCCTTTTTTCACCAGGGGACGGCCAGTAGTGATGTTCATCATTTGCTTAGAACTCAAGAGATGTTCATCATTTGGTTAGAACTAAATTTACTTCCTGAACAATTAAAATTTGGTCAATGAGATTACGTCTTTGAAACAGAAGGCAGTTGAGGTTACTGATGCTATTAGATTGTAAAAGAAGATTTCAGATTGTGCAGTCTTGTCCTGTTACTTAAGGGTAGCTACCATGTCCAACCTAGTAAAGCATCATGACGTTACATTCCACAATCTAAGATCCAATCATCAGATATAAGTTTACAAAAGGTTGCTTACACATTCAGTTCCGAAATATAGCTGGATTGTTCCTTGAAAACCAATCCCAACTTCATAAAGCACTTACGACAACATATCACGGTAAAGAGAGATGAAACTTGCAAATGATAGGCATGTATAAATTATATTATAGTAACATAAAACAAAGACCATCATCATGCACTAATCAGATAGTAACTATACAATTGATGTGCTGACCTGTTCACACTTTCCGAGAAGCTCTTTGTCACCAGTGTAACCCTGAGCATTTGTTTCAGTAAACAATCATTTAATACATTTAAAATTTAAAAAAAAATTGCACAGATATCAACTGAGATAGAGGAGACTGAAAGGAGTAGAGGACCAGAGAAGAACGGGAAATCAAAGTCAACATGAAGAAAAGCTTCAGACTGGTAAACTTCACCTTAAGAAGATCCATCTCATCTTTTGTAGGACAAAACTTTATAAGATTCTCCACCTGATCTGCATCTAAAATAGACTCATCCATTGCCAGTGCAGCTGCCTATGGGCCATAACAGAACAATTGTCATTGCGTAACAAAATAGAACATCGTGAGGACAAAGCAAGAATATTAATCAATCAGCTTGTCCTCAATCTCAGACCAGTTGATTATGCTATATGAATCCTCGGTATACAGTCTGCTTTATTCAGGCTCGTTACAGAATAATGCCTTTTATTCGTTAAAAAGTTTCTCTTTAAATGCAAATTAATCATTGGTTCTCTTAATCTGGCATTTATCTCTACATTGAGATCACCTACGGATAAGCAAGAATATTCAGGAGAAAGGGAATCACCTAGGTCTACCAAGTCTAGTCCAGCATGTACAACCACGAAGGAAAGGAAGTTTCTTTTTTTTTTCTCCTTTTCTCCGTTAACCCTGACTTCAGGTTTTACACATTTTTGGTACACCTTGACAAAGAAGGATGGACTGTAGCCTAATTTGCCATATTGTATATCAAAAGACCAAATAGCAAAAAGAAAAAGTAGAAAGATGAAGGAGATCTAATAGAAGAAAGGAAAGTCCTATGAGGTCTCAACATGTTGCATGGGACCACAATGAGAAGACTAATTAACAACAACGTAATTGCTCCATTAACATATCAACCACATTTTTTTGTGTCTGAGGATTGCAACAGCCTGACAAATTCTTCTTTTCTCTTTCTATTGAACAAAGGTAACTTGGGATAATACCCATCTATCTCAATTGTTCGCCCTACTTCGTAGGTATTGTTGTATTCTTTTCAAGCTTAAACATAGTTTGAGTGTAATGTGCATAGGAAAGAAAAGGTAGGAGGAAAACCAAATGAAGTATCTTTTGTACCATGACTTGATAGGGATAGTTGGTTCGCATTTATCAGTTTTTCTTCCCTGTATAAGCCCAAAGTAGTCTGAGTATTGTGAACCATGCTTACAAGAGCAAGTAGCTTTCCTTTGTCCCTACTTTTCTTTTTTCGCTAGATTAAGCACATATATTTAGGCCCTAGAATTTTTACAATGTGATCTAGAAGAAATGTTTAAACTAGTAGGATAACGGAAGAAAGCAAATAATCATCAAAGTCAGGTCACTGATTAGAGATCGGTATTTTCTTATACTATTAGCCATGAGCAGTGTTATGCGTGACTTCTAGGTGAGCTTAAAGAAGGGAAATTCAGAACATCTGACGTTATAGACTCACTATCCTAAACACAGATATTGGATCCCACTATCCTATTCAGTTATCTTTCGTGACTTAACCCACATATACTCGAAAGCAGCTCCTCTCTCTCTCCCTCTGTGCAATCAGATCAGGATGTTATTTAGTCTGTAAAAGTAAAGGAGGCAAGCCTTCAAAAAAGAAAACCAAAGAAAATAGAAAATAATGAAGAAAAGCACTAAACTAACCATCATGTCTGGAAGTGGCATTTTCACCTTTGTGAGCATAATCTCAGTATTATTCGCCCTTCTTAGGTCAACCTACCAAAGAAATACAGGAGAAAATTAGGAAAAGAAGAACTCAAGCGAGCAGTTAGAAAACAAAGAAAAATAGTTCCTCAAATTAACCAATGTCAAATTCTCATAGAAAGCAACAGTAGTTAATCATCCAAGAGGGATCTGGGGAAAGAAAAGAAAGAACTAAACATGAAAGAACCACGAGAGACTACAAGAATAAAGTATCAAATCAATAGCATTATTTATTTCTTAGATTCTTTGCAGACAGTTCCTAGAAGAAAGGTATTGAGTCATATTGATTACCAGATGAACCTTGTCCGGTTTAGATTCAGCAGACTTCTTCCGTCCTCCAGATTTACCTGAACTACTTGACTTGGGGGTGGCAGAGAAAAGAACCTCAATTTCTGACACATCAAACTCTGGTGCACTTGATTTGGAGTAAAATTATCAGTACTTCATTTTAGTTGAATATAAGCACTGTCAAACTAAAAAATCATGGAACATACGTTTGAGGCTCTCCATGTCTCTGTAGTTCCTCCCATAGGCTTCCCTGTAGTGCCCTGGTTACCTTGCTCCAGTGCAATGGCTTTAAATTAGATCTTGTCCGTGAAAGTATTGGAGCTCTCCCAGCAGGAATTCCTCTGCCGGCTGCCCCAGGTCCTTTAGCACCAAATAGTGGCGGTGGGGGAGGTCCACCACCTGGAGGTCTTGGAGCTCCAGGTGGGGGAGGTGGACCAGGTGCACTACCTCCGGGTGGCGGTGGGGGAGGTGGTCCAGGTCCTCTACCTCCAGGAGGTGGTGGGGGAGGTGGTCCAGGTGCTCTACCGCCCGGAGGTGGCGGAGGAGGTGGTGCTCCATGTATTGGAGGAGGTGGTGGACCGCCACCAGGAGGAGGAGGAGGTGGTGGAGGGCCGCCCCGGGAGGGAGGAGGAGGAGGTGGAGGGCCGCCGCCAGGGGGAGGTGGAGGAGCTGGAGGGCCACCACTGGGGGGAGGTGGATGATCGGGCTGACTGCAACTTGGAGGAGGTGGAGGAGCTGGAGGGCCACCACCGGGGAGAGGTGGAGGAGCTGGAGGCCCAACTATTGAAGGAGGTAGAGACGAAGCTCCAGGTACTGGAGGAGGAGGAGGAGGAGCTGGAGGGCCACCACCGGGGAGAGGTGGAGGAGCTGGAGGCCCAACTATTGAAGGAGGCAGAGGCAAAGCTCCAGGTACTGCTGGAGGAGGAGGAGGAGGAGGAGGTGGAGCTGCTGACAATGGAGGAGATGGTAAAGGCGATACATGCAAGGGAGGTGGTAGAGGTGGGGGTCGGGGTGGTTCTCCAGAGAAAGAAGCTGGGGAGGAAGGAGGATGGGGACAAAAAATTGAAGGTGGAGGCGGTGCAGGTGGAATACCATATGAGAGGGGTGGGGGAGGTGGGGGAGGTGGAAGAGGAGTCGGGGATGGAGCATTTCTTGGAGGGGGTGGGGGTGGAGTAGGTGGAGGCAGAATTGGCGCGGGAGCCTTTCTTGAAAGAGGTGGTGGTAAAGGAGGTGGAGGAGGAGTTGAAGTCGGAGCATTTCTTGAAGGTGGTGAAGGTGGGGGAGGTGGAGGTGGAGGAGGTATATTTTGTGAGGGAGTTGAGGTTGGTGAAAGTGGAGCACTCTGCAAAGGTTGTGGAGATGGTGAAGGAGGTGGCAGTGGCGGTGGGGAAGGTGAAGCTGAAACACCGAGTGAAGGAGGTGGATGGGGTGGAGGAGGAGGAGGAGGCGGTGCTGGTGGTGGTGGAGCACTTGTTGTCAGCAAAGAAGTAACTCTAGGCGCAATTGGAAATGGTGGAGGTGGTGGAGGTGGTGGAGGAGGTGGGGGGGCACCGTGCTTTGCAGGTATAGGGGGAGGGGGAGGGGGAGGGGGAGGAGGTGGCTGCGGAGTGGACAGCCCAAAGCTAGCCAAATTTGGTGTAATAGGCGCATATAGAGGTGGAAGTGGAGGTGGAGGTGGAGGTGGAGGTGGAGAAAGAGGTCGCAATGGACTTGATGCTGCCAAGGAGTTAGTTGCACAAGCCACATCTGGCAAAGGAGTTGGTGACAATTCCCTACCACCTCTCAGTACAGTAGATGATGTGGGTGGTAAAGTTGGGGGAGGAGGGGGAGGGGGAGGAGGAGGAGAGCTACCCATATGAGTCATTCTCAAGCCATTTGAGGATGGAGGTGGAGGTGGAGGTGAAGGCGGGGTTGGTGGTGATAAGGATATGACATTATGACTACGAGAGCTACCCATGTGAGTCAATCTCAAGCCAGTTGATGATAGAGGTGGAGGTGGAGGTGGAGGTGACGATACAGATTTGACATTATGACTGAGTGATATGAATGGAACAGGCAGAGGCGGCGGGGGAGGTGGGGAAGGGAAGGATATGTGAGACAAAGAATCCGTTGTAATATGGGTTTCCGACGAAGACACGGGTAGCGTTGCAGAATCTGGTAGGTTATTACTTGCTTCCTGAATAGGAGGCAATTCAAGTGATGAAGTGCTTGGATATCGAAATGAAGGCAGTGAAGAAGGTAGGGGACTTTGAGGGGATTCCTGAAGGTCATATGCCTGCCTTTCAACTGATTCTGATGAAGTGGTCATTGCAACAGGTGCCTCCTTGACTGTTGACATGTCTAATGATGCTGGACATGAAGAGCGCTTCTTTGGAACACGACCTGCTCCAGCTGGAATTTTAGCTTCTGAAAAAGCTCGAGGAGATGGCGATTTTGATTTTAACCCAGATTGAGAATCCTTGGTAACAGCAAGCACAGGTGGAGCACTCTTATACCTTGATGGTGGATATGCCACATGCATTGAATTAGTGTAAGAACCTTTATTAGAAGGGATCCACCGAGACACTGCATTTGGCTTTGCTAGTCGCAACAGAGTGCCCTGAGATTCCTTTTGTTTAGACTTATCTTTAGGTCCAATCCCATCAACAGCAAGTTTGGAGTTGGATACGAGCTGTTTCTTTAGAGATGAAGGTGCCTTTTCATTCTTTCCTTTACTGATATCAGTAGTCAATTTCTGTTGTGAACCCTGCCTCTCCTGTCTAAAGGTGCCTTCTATATCCCCATGTGTTCCTGCTTTAGAGTCCTTGTCGCTAGAAACATCAGAAATCACAGCCTTGGAGTTTATCAAATCGTCATTATGCGCTAAACCATTTGTTTTTGATGCTTGTTGAGTAGAATCTGTATTTCCTTCTTGTTTGCGATTAACATCAATAGATGAACTATCTTGAAAAGCACGATGCTCCAACTCCTCTTTCCATATTTCAGTGCTATCGTCATCCTGCATACTGTCCTGAACTGACTGGGCATCAGATTCCCCTCTTCCATCCGGTCCATCAATAACATTACTGAATATCTCTTCCACCTCAAAGAACTCCTCTGGTGAATCACCTTCAGTCTCATTATCATCTTCATCTGGCGCTTCTACGGTGATAATAGATGGAACAGCATCAGCATCCGAAAAAAGTACCTGGTACAGAAATAAGCATTCTTCAACTCCTATAGTTCCCTGTTAAAGGATAATGAAAAAAAGAGCCAAGTTCAGAGAAATAGATACCAAACCTCTGCTTTGAACTCCCTAGAAAATTGATCTTTTGCATCCCATGGGACATCAACTTCATCACGAGTTAACATTAAAACATTTGAGCGAATAAATGCCGTATGGAACATAACTCTGAATATCATTTCTTCCCTAACTAGGTCATCTTCCAAATGGATGCACTCAAGAACAACATCTCCTTGGACACGACAGTGGATATCTATTTTCACGAGCGCACACTCTTCCTGGAGAGGGGAAGTTAGCAGAACACACTTCAGATTTCAGCTAATTAATTGTAAAATGTTTAAAGCTTAGAAGTACCTGTCGGTAGAGGCGACCATGTTGTTTTGTCTTTGAAGTTGAAAAAAGGAGTTTAGAACTCCTATTGGACGTTGTTGAAGCAGGGTCCTGACCATAGACACGAACCACCAGTCGGCACCCCTTCCCACCATCAAATAGAGGAAGGACCCTGAGTATGATACAATCTAAAGCGAAAGGTATATCTGATGGCAGCCAATCTAAGCCAACAGTTCTTCTGGTGATATAGTGGAGATATCTAAGCTGAGACGGCTGTGGATTCAGAGGTGATAAAACATAAAGAAGTTCCCTAGGAGCTTGCCTGTATACCATGTCAAGAGTCTTCTGCTCACCAGTGTACTGTTCTCTGTACAAAAGAAGGCCAGCAAGCATGAAAGCAAGTACGGGCCACCCTCCCCTCTCACAGTGCATTAACAACACATTTTGTTGGCCCTCGAGTGAAAGCCAGCTCTCACTGGATCTCAAGAAGTGCTTGATCATCTCCAGTGGCAATACAGGACACCCCTCATACCGCCGAGGATAATCCATGACAGTCATATCATACTGCGTTAATATATCTGATATTTGGCTCCTCTGATCTCCTTCTTTGAAGTTAAAAACCATGAAAGAAGCATCTGGATAATGGTCCTGTAGCTGAGCTACAATCCCTCCCATGTATGTCTTGTACTCATATTTGTCCAATGCGTCCGTTGAGAAGCAACAATCAAACACTGCAAAGTGTGAATTAAAAGGAAAAGCAGAGAAGCATCAATACTCATAAAAACCAACCACAGTAAATTATTGGTCTAAACGACATCCACCTTTAAAATGATGAAGATAGTAAGCTTTACAGATATCAGTTAAAATTGTAACATGGTATCTTGAGCAAGTTCACCCCCAAGCCACAGAGCTCAATAACTAGGCAAACCACCAAAATAACGGAGCATCAGATTTCAGCATTCTTCTTACAAGTTGAATTTTCAGCACTATTTATTTTTCAGCTCATTCACTATTAAGCAATTTCTGATTTTTTTTAATGAACGATGGTGTCCTAGCCAGCTTGCGCACGTCTCATACTATTCCACCAGCTACCTGCTACCTCCCACCAGCACAAGTACTGGGTAACCCTCCCCACCAAGGCTTAGGCATATTTTGGCAATTCGTGATAATTCTCATATTTTGGCATTTGTTTAGGAACTGAAACAAAAGCCATTGAGAAAAGCTTTTCAACTTTTTTGGCAAAACTGAAAAACTGAGCCAAAAGTGTACTCCAGAGGCTCCAAAACTGAAATGTACACATTTTCAGAGGCTCCAAAAAATACAGAGAAACACAAAAAAACAGCATAATTTAGGAAGAGAAACATACCATAGACCCGTTCAGAGATCTCTAGAAGCCGATCCGGCGGCTTCTTATAGAAGAATCGTCTGAACAGCGCCATCTAATGGCGCCGTATCTCTATCAATTGCATCCAAAACCCCTTGGGAATGTACCCCAATTGATCCCTAAAATATTTCAATGGATCCTCAACAAATTTGCAAATATGACATTTACAATTAATAAAGAAAACCCAAATGGGTCGGTGATCAATGTAAAATTGGAGCTGGAAGAGCAGCTCAGTTGCAATTGAAATGGATAATGTGGGACAGAATTATTATGAAGAAAAAACAAGATTTAAAGTAGGGGAAAGTGACAGTAAAATAAAAATGGAGAAAAATATGAAAAATTTAGGTTTTAGAATAATAATATGATGAAAATGAGATGCAATGATGATCATTGCCATTGATGAAACTGGGAAGGTGGTAGACAAACAGGAACCGGATTCGGAAACCTGACCCGAAACCTGTTACGGTCGTTGTTCGTTAGATTTGACAAACGAATGTCTATGTACACGTGGCATATGTCCACATCCCAAAGCTGACACAAAGAGAATTTGACAGGGAGATCTGATTTCCTGTTCCAGACAAAAGACCAACATCTTTATAGTTTACTAAAGTCATAATCGAAGTTTTGTCCTATTTGGGCTCAGTTCCCTTTTAATTTTTGGTCGGGAAACTTACACAAATGTCCCAAATAAATCTCAACTTACCAACCTCTAGCCATTAGTCATAGACTTACCAAAACTAGCCAACAAAAATTAAAAAACTAAATAATAGGGTTCTTTCTCTCAAAGAATCACATGAAAATATCACCTACCATATTTTAAAGCGTGATTAGCAAGATTAGATACAAGACGGAAAGGAAATTTCATGGACGGGGTAGCAAATAAGGTGATGAAATACAAAAATCTATACAATATTCCAAAAATCTAAACAAAAAAGGAACTTTTTCAATGGGTATAGTTGAAATTCATTGAAAATATATAGATAAGTCAATATACAAAATTTGAGGAAGATTGGAGGTGATTTGGACTGGTTTTGTATCAAAATTCGTAATTAAATCGAGTTCAAAAAAGTCTTCTGCGACACATGTATCACGCATGTATCACACACACACAGGTATACATGGATATACATGTGATACACAAATGATACACAGTGTGATACACATATCATTTTTTTTCATGTTCAGCTTTTACTTCGAATTTTCAATTCAAACCACCTCAAAACTTCACCAAATCATCTCAAAACTGAGATTCAAGCTCCTTAAATTGTGCCCAATCTATTCTAATAACACCCACTCAAAACAAAGCAAAAATTTGGTATTTTTTGCTACAAATAGCTAATTGGCTAATTTGGCTAATATTAGTAATATTTTATCAATTGGACAATTTTTGTAATGAGCTACTTATAAATGGACATAGCTGGTAATTTCCCTTTTTGGTCTTCTTTAATTTAAATAATTAAAGAATACCAAAAAATATGGAGTACCTTTTCGGGTAGAAAAAGTAGAATTGATGAAAAAATAAAAATATTGATGTCTCTTGCTTTTTTAAAATTTCAAGTAGTTGTTATCGATTTTTTATCTGTTGAAATTACAGATATAACGAATAATGTGAAATATTATTGTTTTTCAAATATCAATGTGACATAGCGAGAACTTGAGATGAAAAATCACTAAATACTACATCGACAAAGCTTATGGTCCAGGTAGTTTAGTAAAAGTGTTGATTCAATTTTATTGTCCGCCTTTTCGTTTCTTATACTGGTTGTACTATATAATTTAAAATAAATAGCTTAAAAGTATGTATACCATTAGCACAATTTTATGTGACATTCTTTAATTTTTTTCTAAAATTTTTAAAACTTTACTTCATTATTGCAATTAGTTTTTTTTTTATGAATTTAATAACAATTCAGATCCATTATGAAGTTCTATATAGACAATAAAATATGATCCTTTCTACGCATGAATATAACTTTTTTTTTTTGAACGACCAATATATATATATATATATATATATATATATATATATGTACCACGTTAACTTAAACGGTTAAATTCCATGCCGAATTAAGCTTCATAGCATGAAAGTGATCACATGTGAAAACAAAACAATTCCTAACTACTAAACCTCTATAAGGGTATTATGTGCAAAGGTTGAAACTTGAATGGTACTTTTGCAATTTACAAAGTTGACACACTCTGGCACGTGATAGCACGTTTAGAATTACGTGGCATTATTTTAAATTTATTTTCTTGAACAGTATTTTATTTTAAGATTAAAATATAGGAGTCAGAACAAAGAAAACGAGAGGAGCTAGAAATTAAGAAATAGAATAAAGAATTGGTGTACGTGCTTTGTGGTCACGCTAGCTAGGCAGAAACTTCTAAATCAAGTACTACTCCTATAATATATGGTCAACGTGCGTGGTTGACATTCCATTGCAGACTTTATCTGATGTAGTGATGCCGCATTCACGTCGCAGCAGATATAAAATATTATTTAAGTCTACAATTTTAAGAAATTGAATCTAGAAAAAATTTAAAATTAAAAAGAAAAGTGTGCAAATGAAGCATGTATCTCTTTTTGGGCCAATGACTTTAGCAATTATGGAGGTACCATTACATTTCCAAGTCAAAATAGCACGGTATAGTCAGTTTTCGAACTGGTCATTCAAAAATAGTCATGCGTTTACCAAGTCAATGAAAATAGCCATTATTTTGCTGCAACAGAGACCGGTCCAGCTGTTTAACCAAAATTTGGGATTTCGGTCAAAGCTTTGTTTTAGAAGAACTCGAGTTACTGATAATCAAATATATAATGAATAAAATGAATTGACTTTGATAAGCAGAAGAAAGCAAAATAAATCTGTATATTGCAAGAGTAGTTTTTCTTTTGTGTCCTTACAAATGTTCAATCTTCTCCCTTTTATAGCTACCTCGAAGTAATAGAGTCTTTATGACAATTAATGGCATTAATGTAACGTTATAATTGTTAATCATAACCGATTCTCTACAAATTCCATAAAGCTTTCCGTAATTAATGCCTATTAATTATCAATAATACGTATCTGTACCGTTTTTACTATAAAAGTTCATTCTTTTGATATAACTGCTGAATATCAATAGGTACGAGCTTTTATCCTTCCTCTGCCCGTGCTTGTTGAAGCTCGTGCCTTTTTTCTTTGCCAATCAGTCACTCTTCTACTAGTCCCTGTGTCATGATATATCACCTCATATTTAATTCCATACACGAACTCAATTTTTCCCAATACAGATAGTCCCTCCACTTGCCATTTATTCTTCAATAGAATATTTGGGAAGTGGATTTCATTAAAGCGGGAATATTTGCCGCCATTATTTCTTTTCTGGAACTGACGCTTCATATGTCATTCCATTTAATGTTCACGACATGTGGCACCTCCGGATTGGTTTAATAACTTTTCAGCGCTTTTTAGGGCTTTTTTACGGCTTCATTAATTATGAAATGACAACTTCCATCATGACGTTTCTATCATTGCGCCTTTTCCTTTGACGGTTGCTTCTGAGTATAAATATAAGCCTTCATCTTTGTCTTTTTCACAGAAGGTTCAGAATATTCAACTTTAGTCTTCTTCTTCCTCGTACTATTATGTCTTCTTCAAACCCTAACCCTCGTAGAGTACCTATCGTTGATAACCTTCCTCTTGCTCCTATTAGAAGTAGGAGAGGAGGAAGACTTCATAGTTTAGGTTCTTCATCTTCTCGGGGTCCTTCTCTTCCTTTTACAAGTTCAACTCCACCTTCTAGAACTAGAGGTTCCCTTTCTCAAAGGTCTTCATCTAGAAATAAAGAGCCCAATGAACCTCTTCGTGAACCTTTGGTTGACGAAATTGTTCCTGCTGAACTATCTTTTTATAATGATAGAGAATCCATCAGAAATCAAGTTTCTTTTATGTCTTCATTAGATCGTGCTGACATTTACCCAACTCAGATCACTAAAGGTTTGATTTCCGCGGAGTCATGATTTTCCCATTATAATCCCCAGTGCAAACCAAAGAATCACTTCTTATTTGATTGGATTTTCTTTCGTATATACATACCCTTTTACTTTGAATTTCAAACCTCCTATTGACCCGGTTATCCTCGAATTCTGTCGTTTTTTCGATGTTTGCTTAGGACAAATTTGCCCTATCGTGTGGAGGGTCATTGCTTGTTTGAGGCATTTGGCCAACATGGATGGCTTGCCTTTTACATTCTTCCATTTAATCCATCCTTATTCTCCCAAACTTTTCCGTCATGGAATTTTTACCTTAGTAGCGAGAAGTAAAAGAGTTCTGGTCAGCCTAGAGGACGATAAAGACCGTGGCTGGTATGCCAGGTTTGTTGCTACCCCCACTATTGGTTTAGTGGGTGAAGAGAATGTTCCATTTCCTGAGAAATGGAATTTTGCACGTAAGTTTTCTCTTCATAACTTTTCTATGCCTCTCTTTTTATTTTTGATGATTGTCATTTTAACTTCTTCTTCTTTTTCAGCAACCATGGGAATTGTTGATGAAATTCCCAATTTCCGTGGTTGGGTAGAAAAGTTGTTAAGTGTTGCTCCGATGGAAGGTCGATCTTGGAAAAACCTTTCTCATCGGTTTGGTTGGAAAGTGAAAACTCACGGTTAGTGCTTTTTCCTTTATATCCTTCGTATTTCTATTTACTTCTTTCCTTAAAACTTACTTTAATCCTTCTTTTTATCAGGATTTCCCATTCGAGGCATAAGTGTTGAGGCCGTCATAGCTTCCAGAGTTTCTTTGGAAAGAGCCCAAGAGATTGTTCTGGGTTCTTCATCGAAAAGGAAGGCCTCCGCTGATCAAGATTCTGAAGAAGAGGAAGAACAAGATGAGGGTTCTTTGATAAAAAGGCCACGAGCTAGAAGACGCATTATTTCAGATGATGAAGCATCCCCCCCCCCTCGTTCTTTTCCTTTAATTGAGCCTGTTGAAGCCACTTTGGTGATTTTCGATGATGAAACTCTCGCGGTTGCTCGTGATTCTGTTGATCAGCTTCGTGGGTTTGATAATGAAAGTTTAGGTCCGGTTTCTGATGAAGCGCCCCTTGCCTCATTTTCCATGCCTGCTTCTGTGACATCTTCTTTACTGGTTGTGACCACTGCTGTCGCTGCTCCGCCCCAGGCTATTTTGAATCCTTCCATGGTCCCTCCTACAGCTATCCATCATACTAAGGTTGGTTCCTCAAGTGGAAGTGAAGCTATGAGGCAAGTTATCATCGAGGTTCGTGCCGATGGTAACCTTTTGAGGAAATCAGGTCGGGCTGTTGTGTGGTTGAAGCCTCTGATTGGTCCAGTTGAGAAATCCAAACTTGAGAGTTACAACTCTTTGACTTGGATGAATGACATAGTGCAATCATCTTTAAAGGTATTCTTTTTCATACTTTACTTCACCTTTCTTCTACTTAAGGTTCTTACTATTTTTCCTTTTTTAGATCAATCTATTTGGCACAGAGATGATGAAAAGAATTTCCCACACTGAGCAATTAATGCATGATTATCAAGTTGAAGCGGACAACTGGAGAGAAC